TTTTTTTTTTTTTAGAAAAATAAATCTTTCTAATTTTATATAAGAAGAGATTTACATAGCGTGACATTTTCAATTTCCCTTTGTTTTGCTCTTGAAGTTCAAAGTTCATGGTCATATATCATCTATATCTTGAGCTGCCATGACTGAGTGGATACATAGTTTAACACCTTTCCACAAGGTACTGTGTTTGAGTCTTCATATCGTCAGCCATAGTAATCACGAATGGCTGTTTGCCTTGGATCATCCGTCCAATACCACGCCAGCTACGTTATGACATACAACTGCAGTCAGTGTGTATGAGAAGCTCATACAATTGAGTGCAAGAATTCTGCGTCACCCCAGTCTTTCATGCAGAGCTATATCTAGTATTAGTTGTAGGGAAGATGTCGAGCTATTGAATCTGGCGCTAGGTGCAACACTATACCGTAAGGTAGGGATATTCTTCCTTTCATATCGATTTTAAAACCTGAGCTAATGAAAAATAATGTATACAATAATTCTACATAGGCATGAATCGAGAATGTCACATTAGTTTTTTTATATACCTACATGCAGAAAGTACTCAAAATGCAAGACGTAATAGAATGTTGTCAGAAATTTAAAATTCCAAAACAAATAGTTTTCTGCAAGATAACATCTCGATGAGATTTTATCGACTTACGAAGAATGTTAATCGAGAATGAACCTCGAATTCTTAGTCGGAACTTTTCAGAAAATTTCAATAAAACTTTAACTGTAAGTCATATCAATTTCTTCGATGTCTTATCTAATCAGTAGGAAACTATTTGTTCTACAACCATTTTTTTTTGTGAACATCTTTACAAAGAAAACAAAACCGAAAATCTTTGGAATTTCGTCTTTTTTTTTTTAATTACCTGTGCTGAATAATCTTCAACAACTTTACGTAATCGACTAACAACACGTTGAAGTTGTTCTTCAGGATTATCAATCATTATTGAATTTAGATTTAGTGTAGGACAAAAGAAAAAAATATATCGACAGAAAGAATTTCAATGGACGGATAATTGTATGTCTGACTCATATATTATAAAAAAAAAAAGAAATCATCATCTTTGATTGGTCAAAAATTTGCCCTTATTAATGTATATTATCCTCTATTCATTTTTTCTTTAGCTGTCAAATGATAAAACGAATATTTATGCATAAATGTGTTAAATATAATAACAAATTCGAATAGTTGCCTGATTGATCACAAGCAAAAAACAGTCAACTCATCAACTAACGATGCTACTGCGACTACAACTTCATAATGTTTGTGTATTGGTCGTTGTGGATGTAGACCCCTACGGCATTAGTTTGAATTCTTTTTTTTATATTAAAATATTTCTAGATAAATTCTCTCCTACTGTTTTCGTTTGTCATTTTTTATTCAAACGATGCAGATATATGTTAAAAAGCCTTCGATAAATATCAAATAAACATATTGTCAATGATTATTCTATTTCAATTATTAATATTATATTAAATTATCTTGATATTTATCTATATAATATTTTATTTGTTTTTAAATTCAAATATATATATATATATATAAAATATGCCAAAAGCAGGAACTAGTTCAAATGCTGCACCCTGTATGAAATATTTTTATTT